ATGTCTTTTCTCTTTTTAGTTTAAGAGAACATGTAAGTGTGACCAGCTCTATTCAGTTAAGGATACTCTCCTCTTCTTCACTAAGTAAGTAACAAAGATATTGAATTTTTGGTCCATTTTGTTAGATATTTTTTATCACTAGGGTTTATGCATAAACATACCCCAGCTATCTTATGACTTTATATTACTTTTTCCTTTGAACATTGTGAAGTGCTCACATACTACTTTTGGCTTTCATAAACAATTGTTTTCACATAAACAAATGAAAGGAGACACATTGTATATCTAAACTCAATTGTGCATTTCAGATGCTGTCACATCCTACAACCTCGTCATCTGCAGAGAGAAACTGCTATTCAATCCCACCAAAATACACATAATGATTAACTTAGAGGCAGCATAGAGGATTGTGAAGATATTTCACTGGAGCTTGGTCTTCAGTACACTATTTTATGTTCTATGTTGTTCTATTTCTTTAAGCATTTATTTATGTTCAATGTCCATTATCATTCATTAATGTATTCTGCTATTAACTGTTGTTAGAACACTGTCATTTTTGCTACAATTTCACGTCATTAATAAAGTACCTGGCACGTTGTTGTTGTTGATTTTATGTAAAACCCTAATAGACACTTCAATATACTATAAGACCAGGCAGATAGAGGGGTAAAAAACTATATTAATAAATAATATTTACAAATAATACTAATATTAATGATATTAACATACATAACATAACATAATTAAAAAGGTTATTTAGAACACCAATAAGGTCCTGTATAGCATTTTCAAAGCATGGTTCTATATGGAACCCTATAAAAAAAGGTTCTATTTAGCACTAAAAAGGGTTCTGCTATTGTTACAAGCCGAAGAACCATTTGTGTTAAGAGTGAGAAGAACCATCTTTGGCTTTACAAAGAACCTTTCAGTGATTAGTTCTTAGAAGAACCATTTTTTCTTAGTGTGAAAAACATTTCAGTGGTCTAAAGAACATTTTCCACTATCATTTTTAAAAATAAATGTTCTTTATTGGCATTGATGGTTCCATGAAGAAACTTTAACATTCATGGAACCTTTCCATTCCACAAAAGGTTCTTTAACGTGGATTACGGTTCTTTAGATTAGTCAAATAATCACGCTAAGAAAAAAATGGTTCTTTTAAGAACTGTTCACTGAAAGGCTCTTTGGGTAACCAAAAATGGTTCTTCTGTGACATCACTGCCAAAAAACCTCTTTTGGATTTTTTTTTTAAATAACCTTTTGTGCAATGGAGAGTTCTATGGATGTTAAAAGTTCTTCATGGAACCATCAATGCCAATAAATAACATGTATTTTTAAGAGTGTGTAAACTTTCCATTCCACAAAATGTTCTTTGTAGTAGAAAAAGGTTCTTTAGATTATTAAAATGTTTTTTTTTGTTTGTTTGTTTTTTCAAATAAGAAAAAATGCTTATTTTAAGAACTGTTCACTGAAATGTTCTTTTAGGGATCCAATAATTGTTCTTCTATGGCATCATTTTGAAAAACCCCTTTAGAACCTTTATGTTTAAAGGGGTGGTTGATTGCGATTTCACTTTTTTAACGTTAGTTAGTGTGTAATGTTGCTGTTTGAGCATAAACAATATCTGCAAAGTTACGAAGCCGAAAGTTCAATGCAAAAGGAGATATCGTCTTTTAAAATTCTTGCAGTTTAATGCCTACAAAAATGGCTGGTAGGGACTACAACGAGTTACTTCCCGGGTTCGTGACAACACAAACCCACATAAACCCCGCCCTCAGGAAAAGGCAGCAAAGGGGGCGAGGC